GTATCATACAATACAATACACTGGTGCATAATCTGTAACTCGAGAGGACAAAGAGGCAGTAACATAAAAGAAACGAGATGGAACGGGGTTGCCTCTCTCGCGCACCTCACGAGCGCCAAGGAAACAGTAGGTGGGTTTGAACAACGAAAGAGCGGCGGCCACCTTACTAATATTACCCAGTACAAAGGGGCGATGGGATCCTAGTCCATCAAGCCAGACTGTATAATGGTTACTAAATACTTATTATCTTTGACCACATTTCATCAGTGTATAGGGAAACAAAAGTGGAAGTTGTGACAAAGAGTATTCAATAATCGTTAGCTACTATCTTTATTGCGCACTATCAACCAAATACTAATACCTAGATAAAACCACAATAATAATAATAATGTATAAAATAGCTTGACTTCCTGCATCAGTCATATAGAGTATAAATAACTTACAAAAGAACGTGAACAGCAAAGAATTAACCAAAATTTATCAAGAAGTGGCCATATTGTACTTTTAGACGCTGATTGTTATTTCATTTATTTTGAACATTTCCGTGCCTGATTTTGGAAGGTTGAACGAGGGAGTAATAACTATTGCCTTTGAGAATCCTTTGAGAAATTTTCGGGGGAAAATAATCCTCCAGCATCACAGCAGATTGAATAATGGAAACCGTTGGCCAAGCACACTAGTATTAGAACCTATTGTACATTGAAGTTAAAATGGAAAACGGTGCATTTCTCCGACTCGCTTGTTAGTTGTTTTATTACACTTTCTTCGTTACGGTCTGTTGCATGAAGTTTTATCTTTTAACTTAAGATAATTAAAATATACTAATTAGGATTATCATCAATATAATCATAAATATGAGACAAATTACAATACCAGACTAGCATTGATAACTAAAAAAGACGAAAACCAACCGAAAAGGGGACATTTTAAAAAATCAAAAAGATTCTTCACATAATGTAGCAAAAGATGGTCACCATTTTGCCTCGAGGAGAAGGGGTTAACAGCAAAAAAGAGGCTTGTCACTGGAAGATTTGCAACTGAAGATTTACGGACCTCTGATCATGTTCTGGAACTATTTTTAGTTAATACATCGTTTGTTTTAGAAGACTGCAATAATATTTTTTAGAATGAAGTGCCATGAAGAAATGTGTGCATCATTATTATCTTTTTTTAGAATCTAGTCCACTCAATGGTTCGAGACTGAAGTTAGCGTCATGCTTCATGGGTTCGTTTTTAGAGATCAGTAACGCTTCAGGAATATCCTATCCGTCCTGTCACGTGGGTATAAATCTTCCACTTCACAAAGCAGTATAAAAACATTATGGTTTCTTCACTTTTATTTTTTCTTCAAATTAGTTTGGGCCATACACAGTCTTTCACAATCACAAGTTACATATTTGTCTAGCACATCTTCCTCACCTAACTTCTCTCATTCTACGCCGTGTCTGATGGCAAAACTGTCGACAGAAGGATTGTCTTAGGGTCCTCCACCAGCCTGGAGTAACTAGAGTATTGTATTATTTCTTTCCTCTATTTTTTGGCACTGGAAAATTCTTTAAGCAAAGTATATAGCCAAAAACTTGGCACTGGGATTGGCACAGATTATTTGGCACTGAGGCTTGGTCACAGCAACTGCAAAACACTATTGATATGAACATTGGTGAGTGGGAAATTATTCAGTTTTTTCCTGATTATTGTAAAGAAAATTCCTGTTTGCATCTTCATCTCTCCAGGCCAGTATGCTCAACAAACACCATTGCACAAACACTTCATTCATATTGCACAGTCTGTAGCCACAAGGTGCATTGCACTCTCAGACTTGCTAAGGATCTAAATCAACAAACATAAAAAAGAAATCAGTTCACACTACAATTACATATGTATAAAAAATCATGGGAATGTAAAGCATTGGGAGAACTTACATTACGTTACGTACGAGACATCACAAACTATGAGAAAAGAAGTAAGTTTACAAGGTGCCACTTGCCTCTCATATCACTTAGGGAGAGAACAATAGTACTTTATATTCAAGTAGCATCACATAAAGATGTGCACAACTCTCCAAGAACTGCGACAACAGTGCTTGTTACGTACTGTTGCCTTGCAAGTGGGACAGTGGTATCCCTACGGACAGATCTTTAATGATGATCGAATGTCTATATATTTTGTCTCTCAATTTTATACAATAGGTCAGAGAAGAAGAATTTCTTCATTTGGTTGTTTTATTGTCAGCCACATTTGTTTGGGGGTTTTGCAGAAGTGTCATAGTGTAGAGTAGGTGTCAAGCAATTAGAGCATAGGCACCCCATCTGTTAATGCAGTAAAAAGTTATAAAATACCAATATTTTCCCAAGCAATGTATACAAAACTGTACGTAAGAAGCAAACTGCGTCGAAGTTAGAGAGGCTACACAATTTTTTTTCATTCTAAACAAAAAAACGTCAGCACATAACGCATCAGTCTCCTAACACGTTTCAGCAAATGAGATCTTGTACAGTTTGCCAAATCCTGGTGCTTGCTGCAGAGACTGGAGGCACTGTCGTGGGGTGTGACTGCTGATTTATGCTGATGTTGCGCCTGGTGCTACGCTGCTCTCGCTGCTGTTACTATTGCAGTTTTACAACTTGAGTCACTGTGACGATTTGTTGGACACCACCACCTATAGCGCCATCAGCACGTCTGCACTGACATAAGAGGGTGCTCGGTGGTATTGTTAAAAGCGTGGTGCAAGAGTTTCATTACTGTAGAGGTTGTCTATCAAGCCAGGGACTTGCTATGCATGCCTTTATGTTGTACACGGTACTTTTCGCCTACATTTCTATCACTAGCTTCCTACACTTGCTCGAATCCTCACTAACTACTGACCCTTCCATTCAGAGAAAAAATCAGTGTCGTACATGATGTCAAACCACCGAGCGAGGTTCTGAGAATAAAATCTTCATGGGCATCACAACTAGTGTCTAGAAGAGGGAGGTAGTGTGAACATTGGCAGTCTAGCAGGTCCTGGAATGAACATCTTTCTACTATGTGAGAGGAGCAGAAACTGGTTAGTGGATGTGCTCAGCATAGTCTCTGCGCAGTAACCAGTACCTGGCTCGACCAAACAGCGTAGTGACCTCCTAAGGTTCACCCTCGGACATCACCTTCTAGGAAAAGAATCCAGCAAGGGAAAATTCCGTCACGTTCTTAAGTAACCTCATGGGATTGATTGGCCAGAAGCGACCTTCCATGTTAAGTACGGACTCCAAAAAAGGTGTTTCGTCGCTGGCAACTTCTTGAGGGTAGCTTCCAAAGAAAGGCTCCTTGGCATAATATTAAACAGTAACGGTACCTGTTCGCTGATGTTCTTAAATACCAAAGCCTCCTAAGGGTGACATACTAAGGATAACTTCTCTGTTTACTTCAGAACTTCTCGAGAGACCCACCAGTGACAGCTTTTTAAAGTAACTTTCAAGGGTAAAGTGCCCTTTTCTATCTGATATCCTTAATCGTCAATCCTCAGAGGACTTCCTTCAAAGTGGATTTTCAAGAAGCACATTGCATGTACAGGATCTCACAAAGCTAACGAGCTACGTTCTTGGAGTCCTGCAACACATCTGCTCCCAAAAAATCTTTCACGGACTTCTGGCCTCCTCTCTGATGATTCAGAAGAAGTAACTGCCAAGGACTGATTGCTTGGAATGATCCCCATAGGAAGAATTCAGGATGACCTGAGGGTGACCTCTCAAGGCGACCTCCCAAGGGCAACATCCTGGGGGTGCGTATTTTAATGTGGGGCTCACCGGTGCACCCCACAAAAGCTTAACATTATTATAATTACATAATAAAATTCTTTGGAATGATTATTTACATTATATACAAACACACACACAAGAAAACAGTACAAAACATAATCTTTACAACAATAAAAAGTAAATTAGCTTTGATTTTGCAGAGATGAAAGCATAAACCTCTACACCTTGGTGCTAATATCACGGTAGCGCCTGTGCCCGGACCCGACCATTACGGGTCCAGGGGCGAAGGTGACAGCTGCGAGCACGCTAGCATTAAAATATCCTTCTTCTCCTTGGGGAAGCGTAGCTCTCGGCCCGCCAGGCGAGCGGCCTCGAGCTCGCGTTCGCTTTGGCCGAGCTCGCGGGAGATCACGCCGGGGTTCTCCTGCTCGCGGGCGATCCAGTCGAGCGCCATCTGCGAGCGCATGTCGTCGTCGAGCGCGCGGTGCGAGTAGTGGGCCACCACCTCCTGCCTGGAGCACTGCCTCTCCCGCATGGCCTTCAGGGAGCCGTTCCAGTGCAAGAGCTGGAACACCGTCATCAGCTCCTGGAACTCGAGCATCGTGCGCCCCTTGTTGGTCTCGAGCATGAAGCGGAAAGCACCGATTCCCGTGCTCGGGTTGTCAGCCTCGTCGGGGTCACCCTGGGGGAGGGACAAGTCAGCTACGTGCTGGAAAGAAAAATAGACCTTTCGTCCCTCTCAGTCTTTGGTGGCCCTACATGTGACATGAGCAATGGCGCCTTTCTGGCTTTCAAAGGGTAGGCTTTGTCTTACTTTTAGGCTTGAGATTTTATTCCATATTGTGTGATATTCGAATCAACGCTAAACAAGTACTGGCAAACCAAGAAGTGAAATATGAAAGATCAAAACAATAATCAAAGGTAAATAAAAATAGGTTTACTAAACTGTCTCTAAATCAAACTCAGTATATACTTACCATGCAACTCCCCATCAATCAAATCAAAGTCAACTAGCATACTTCTACAAAAAAAAAAAAAAAACTATCGTCTCTCCCACACCTAAAATACTCACTAACTTCACCACACTAAACTACGACCCCGCAATTGACCGAAAACAAACCAGTCTCTTAAGTAAACCTTATGTCCCAAACTAATTTCATTATGGGACCGATTCTTTACATTAGAAGATTCATGAACTTGCAAGCACACAAATCAGGGGTCTATTTTTTCCTAATGCCTCAGTGGTCAATCCTCTCAGCTGGCCCTCGCTCTCAGCTGGCCCTCGCTCTCAGCTGGCCCTCGCTCTCAGCTGGCCCTCCCTCTCAGCTGGCCCTCTCTCCCTGGTGGTCCCAGACTTTCAGCTGATTCCGTCCCTACTTCCTAGCATGTATTGCCTCACTTTCCACCCTCACAGTTAGTTTTATCTCCACCTCAGCCTCGTCTACCACAGATCATCACCCAGTCAGTACCATTCCCAACTAGATTCACCCCACACCTAGTACCATCCCCACCTTGTATCATTTTCTAGCCAGTACCAACTAGTACCAACCCCACATTATACCAATCCCCAGTTAGTACCACTTCCACCTCGCACAATTCTGCAGATGGTACCATTCCCACCTAGTGCCTTCCCCACCTAGTACCAACCTCACCTAGTACCATGTTCACCTTATACCATCCTCACCAAGTAGCATTCCCACCCAGTACCATCCTCACCTAGTATCATGCTCACCTAATACCATACCCACCTAGTACCATTCTCATCTAGTACTATTCACACCTAGTACCCTAGTACCATCCTCCGGAGTACCATTCCCACCTAGTACCATCCTCACCAAGTACCATTCCTGCTTAGTACCATTCCCACTTAGTATCATCCGCACTGAGTACCATTCCCACCTACTACCATCCTCTAGAGTAGTACCATCCTCCCGAGTACCATTCCCACCTAGTACTATACCCACCTAGTACCAGCCTACCTAGTAACATCCCCGCCGAGCCCCATCCCGGGTGCCTCTTACCTTGAACTGAGCCCGAGCGTCGGCCACGGCCTTCTCGATGAACTCGTCGGAGATCCTGCGTGACGGGTGCTCGTTGAACACGGAGTTCATGAGCGCAATCTTGGCGGCGCTGCGTCTGGCTTCGGCCTTGGTCGGGCAGTTCTGGAAAAAGCCGGAAAACTCGGGTCAGACTCAACACATAGTAAAAATAGTAAATAGTAAAGAGTGGGAAATGATCGAACAAAACAGTCAGGATGAGACGGGAAACCATTAAAAATCTGTGGAGTTTCGAGGAAGGCTCTTTAGGGGGAAAGCACAAGAAGGGATACTCCCTTGCAGGGCTGCGACGCCTTGAGGTTCTTTCATATGGGGGTCGTGTCATTAATTTCTCCTATTCTTAAGATTCTTTTTACTTCTATTTGATTTACATTATTTACTTCATGAAATATGACTGATTAAAGCAAGCAACACTGACTATATGGAATGTTAATAGTGTGAGAAATATTATTTAGTTTGTGATTAAAGTAATTGTCTGAATAAGGAAGTACTGTAGCTGAACATTTACTGAAATAATGGCCACATACCAAGCCAAGATAATTGCGCGTATGTGCAAAACGAGAGGGAAGATGTGATAGCTCTTAAACTTCTTAATTGCCTTGGGATTAAAAGAATAATTACCATTAAAGGACCAGCCATTATTTGCCACACCAAACCACCCGCATCATGCCATTGCTAATGTCCTCCCCGAATGCCCCATCGCCATTATACCCTATCAGAGCCCTCCCTTTACGAAGGCTCGAGGAAGGCCAATTATCAATCCCGGCCCTCGACCCTCCCCTCCGCGCTCGGCCCTCCCTCCGCCACCTGAGCGCGGCCCTCCACGGCGCTCCCCCGCACGACCCACCTGGAAGGAGCCGAAGCAGGACCCCCCGGGGAGGGTGACGTAACACACGTAGGGCGGGGAAGATGAAGGCACGGACTCGTAGATGACCAGGGCGCCGTTCTTCAGCTCCGCCCCGCGCTGGGCTTTCATCTGCCAGAACTCCTGCAGCGCCTCCACCACGTTCACTGCAACACAGGTTTGAGCATTAATGGGATTCCGGTCGTTTTGGCTTGGGAGAGTTGGGGAGGAGGAGGGGGAGGGGATGGGGGATGGAAGGCACAAGCGGAGGGGAAGAGGGGGTGGAAAAGATAGGAACAGAAAATGGAGAGGGAGGGAGGGAGAGGGAGGAGAGAGGGAGAGGAGAGGGAGAGGGAGAGGAGAAGGGAGAAGGAGAAGGAGAAGGAGAGGGAGAGGGAGAGAGAGAGAGAGAGAGAGAGAGAGAGAGAGAGAGAGAGAGAGAGAGAGAGAGAGAGAGAGAGAGAGAGAGAGAGAGAGAGAGAGAGAGAGGAGAGAAAGACAATGAGGACATAAAAGCGAAAGGTGCACGAAAAAAGCTAAGAGGCAGCCACGACAGGGCGAGACAAAGAAAACACAATAACACAAGAAACAAACAGACAAACAGAGCAAGAGGAACTTAAAGAAAGCCCGCTATCTGGCACCGACGACATTTAAAATAACGACACGAGACAACGCGAGCAGAGAGGAGAGCGCGAACCGGGGCGTAGCGTGTGAGCACCGTGTTACCTGCCACGGTAATCTGTCCCGGCCCAGGCAGCTGTCATGGCTACACAGGTCAGGTGGTGACAATATGACCTGTCGGGACCTGACATTCCCTCCAGCCTTCGCTACTCCAGACAGGCTAATTAAGCATTGGTTTGGTTGT